ATGTTCGGTCCAGGGTACTCTTAGAATCCTTCTGTATAACCACATTTCTGTTGCTTCAAGTCACTTCTTCATCTGTGAGATTGTCCTGCATTCACTGCCACATAGGAAGACTCGTACTTCATAAAATTTCAGTACGCATTTCCTTTGTTTCTAACTATATTCTTCTGTTTCTTAATACTTTGCTCAGCTTTTGGAAGACATCTTTTCTGCCTTCAGATTTCCGTGTCCCACTTTTCGTCGTCTCTTAATACTGTTCCCAGATATCTACATTTTGCACAAGTTTTATTTCGGTAGCTCTGTTTTGTAATTTGCATATTGGGCTGTTGTTCCTTTTTCTACCAACTAAGCATTTAGTTTTCTAGCAACACGATTAGTCCTTTCTTCAGGCTTTCCTACGCTGCCTTCTGTAAGATATCAACACTGTGGCATTAATATAAGATTGTTGCTACCAATAATGAATCCTGCTAGAATGCCCTGGCTTTATAGGTTGATATGTCTGGTGAGCAGACGCTTCCGTGTTTAAGATCATGTTTGTATATTTACTGAACTAATTTCATATCCGTGTTCAAATCATTTATTGGCTGTATAGGTTGTGGATTGTTACAATATATGTCAATGTTACCTAGCAGTTCTTGCAGCTCTGTGTGATGTACGTCATCAAACACTTATCTCTAAAACATAGATATACATACTTTTGCATTTGTATTGAATTTTCTGATATCATTCTGAACATAAATATAGCATTATTTACATTATTCGTACTATTGTCCTCATCTTTGTCGCCATATTTATTACAACGTTTCGGCCGTTGTACGCTCTAGCCTTCTTCAGGTGGTTGGAATGTCGAACTGAACCCGAACTGTTCTTACCCAATCCACGGTCTGATCCTGGTTTGCGATGTATTCCACAAGAGTCGGATGATAAGTTTTCTCTCATGGCTAAATGAATTGGCTCGTTCAATGAAGTTCACATTCGTTTCTACTTGATTTCTTATGCTTTGTTATGAACATGGATCTAATTATGTCTCCCGGTATATCGCTAATGTTGCATATTTCTTTTAAATTTTAGTATATCTGCACTCTTGTCACCACCAAAATCTTCTAGACCTGCATAAGAATGTAAATTATTTACGGCATGCATGTGCACTTCTTAAGCAACAGATTACCTGCAAGAAAGGAGGGGTTCTTTTATTAGAGGCTATTTCCTTAATTTGTTCTTTGTTTAGATTTACCATGCTTCCTTTACATAAAAAAGTTAGATGTTTTACGAAAGGTGCATGTTTTCCATTTCAATAGAAACATAAATATATTACCAACAGCGTCATATTCATCTATTCCTTTAGAAAAGTAGATATACCGCAAATGGGGAGATATCTATTTCCGTAGAAATATAGGAGTACTCTGAAGAATGGGATTACTTTTATTTCCGTATAAAATATGTCTGCAACACACAATTAGATATGTTCTTTTTCTGTAGAAACATATGTGTACTAAGTACAATGAGATAACATTATTTTCATAGAAAAATAGTTGTACGATAAGCAATAATATGAAACATATATCTATCACAAACAATTAGACATATTCTATTCCTCTGGAAACATAGGGGTTCCCCGTACGAATCAGCTGGAATCAGAGATGAATCATAAAATGCGGGATATCTTTCATCTCTGTACAAAAGCAAATGTACAAAGAGCGATTAAATATGTAGCGATTACCTCACTTTGTCAGGCAGGGCACCCACTACATAACGATGTATTCAGGGCTGTAAAAGAATTGATGTAAAACCTCTCTCTCTCTCTCTCTCTCTTCTCTTTCCTCTCTCTCTTTTTGCCCCGATATCTCGTATTGACAAGTCGGCATATATCTCCACGATGAGAGATTTCTTTTTCCCGGTAAACCGACTAATTTATTTCAAACAAACCTCGAGGACATCCACGCACACACACTCCACCTAAATACATACTTTAATGTTTCCTTTTATTGAGCTATTAGTATAAACTTTAGTATAATTTCTCCTTTCTTCTTTTATAAACTGCGTTGTAGCTTATAAACCGTTAACGCGCTCACAGAGAAAGAATATTATCATCCATCCGCCGGGATTTATGTAGGTAAATATTCTTGACGCTAGAACATTTATGGAGTAATGATATTAAAATGATCCAGTATTTTAATACAAATACTTTGCAATTTTTATCTTTAACATCTTAACATCAATAGCTTCACAGTCCGCCTCACTTTAAATATAGTGCCTTCTTCCGCTTTTCTCAATGTTAAAATAAATATAATGTATCGTGATATAGTTCTACACTGTTAATATATCGGATATATTAAAAATCGTGATATTTTCAAAATAACTTGAAGCTATAATCATTAACACATCAATGAAAACTCGAAGTTATTTTGTTAAGTCTATAATTTTGTTGTAACGTTCTAAAGCGTGCGAAAATAAATACATAATTTATCGTTCATTTTATCAAGTGACCAGGAATAATCTTATTCTGAGTTTGTACTTGTGTCGCCTCAGAAAAAACATTTACGAATCTATTAAACAAAGCAAATAGGGAAAAAATCATTGTTTTTCTTACGCAATACAAGGTGAGATTCCTCGGCTATGTTCCACTGGACGTCTGCATAACTCATTCCGTATGTCAAATTCATGACCGATAGCTTGTGGATTTATTGGTGATGGTCCTCATTGATAATTTGTCAGTTATGATTTCTCATTTTCCTGTCTTTTTAAGTGTTTTAGCTGCATCGAACGATCGTCTTCTTGAACCAGCACTCGACCGACGTTGAAACATGGCAGCCATACACATGAATTTTCGAACGAGAGAATGAGCACAAAAAGAACTTCGAGGTTTTCGGTAGCATTGATGCAGAAATCTTGTTCGAATTTCTTGGCTTTCGTAAGGTTTTGAGCTGAGGTTCTGCACAATGTGAGAAATTCACGCGTAATAATTGAATAGCACGTAGTTTATATGCAGACTGACGCACTAGATTGTGTAGCAAGGTGCATTATTAGCAATCGGTTTTCTATTGAAGTTTACACTAATACCACGTACACTCTAGGAATCTTCTGAAACCCCATAGTATATTATATTTCTAGAAAATTTGTAAGCTGTAGTAACATTCTATTGCTGAGAAATGAGATGAATTGTATTACATTTTTACGAGATGGGATTATCTAAAGATATTGATAGACTTACTTACATATAGTTTGTAAATATTTTCTAAAGTTAAATAAGGAATCTGGAAATATTTTAAGGGAACTACTTCATGAATATGGCAAACTTGGATCTTTGTTTCTGGATATTTATGACGTTTATATTAATATCGATGGTTACCAAAAATCGAAGATTGCTTTATGCGAATATTTAAAAGATCGATTTACTTTAAAATGACATTCAGAATGCTCGATTTTACCTTGATTCGAACAGTGACCATGAGTGGAAAACATAGAAAGGGAAGCTAAACTCTTGTGCAAATTATTTGAAACAAAACGAATAATTCCCTTATTATTTACATTTGTTTCGTATTTTTTTCAATGATACATGAACAGGTGCACATGTAAGTACTTCGTATGTCCATTCCACGAAGTCTTTCCTTGGATATTGAACACAGATTTTCGATTGGATTTAAATGAGGAGAGTTTCCGAACCAGCCGATAATACTTTGATTTAGTCACTGGTAATCCTTGCCATTGTGTTTGTGCAGCGTTACGATTTTCGTACGCTTCCTTGGAATAACACCCATCGCAGACAATAAGCGTAGGACAGCTAATCGACGGACGAGACAATAGTGTCTGAGCATGATAAAAATATAAAGCAATCATGGATGAGGCAATATTTTTCAAGGCCAAACAATTTTCATCATACACCCCGAAAATACATTCATACTATTGCACACAACTATAAAAGACCTAATGTGAGAATAAAATAGAAATTGATTACACCCTGTCATTCCAGTAGGTCTAAAAGAAAGTAAACTAAAGAGGTTGTTTAAATTAATTTGGACAAGGGTGTAGTTTTGTCTGGCACAACGTCACCGAGGCGGAGCTATTCTTGTCTACACAACTAATTATACTCGGGAATCGTCTAGAACTGCAACAATTATTCAACGACAGGCGCCAAACATTGCCTGGTTATCATATTTTGTAAGACAGACGGAAAAAAAAAAGTTTTAAAAAGTTTGTGTATATTGTGTTGCTCTTACCTCCAAACACCGACCATAACAAAACAGCCTCTGTATATATGAAGAGAATATTTTTGAAGCAATGCAGCTTCTTTGTGTTTGCTTTCACCTTTCTTACCTATGTCTCTTACATTCTCTTCATATAACTCTCTCTTTCAACTTTTGATCAAAGACAGCACAGACATATTTCACTTGGTCAAAAAATCAATAAAACGAAGTTGTTACAAATCAATGATTTGTACAGTCTGTTTTCAGTGATCATTTGGTGGAATCACTGCTTGTTCAGCATGCATTTAAAAAGTAATGTGATGTAAAGTAATATTGATCTACCATGCAGTCAAAAGCTTGTCTAGTAGCTGGAGATTGTTGCATATTTCACTCAGATATCAACATCCATGGAACGAAACGGTGTATAAAATCAATATTTCGAATAATGATTTTCAAGTCATGTAGACCCTCGACACTTGGAAGGGAGGAATCATCCTACCATCATTTCTTCGGTTTTGATTTTGCTGTACTAAGCAAATTTCTGGAAAGATATTATCATTATGATATTTACGGTCAGCTAGGAAGGCAATGTTCTTGTCTGAGGAGGTGGCTTTATGATATAGGTACATTCTGCTTGAAAGAAAGAAAGAATGAATGAATGAAATTGAAAAAGAAATTAATGGACGCTTGTAAATCAAACAAAGAAAGAAAAAAGAAAGAAAGAGAGAAAGAAAAAAGAGAGAAAGAAAGAAAATTAAAGTAATCAAGAAAGAACATGAATGTCATTAAGAGAGAACGAAAGATAGATAATGAATAGCATTAAGAAAGAATGAAAAAAGAAAGGAAATGAATGGCAGAAAGACCTTGAATGAAAGTCAAAAAAAGAAAGAAAGAAATGAATATCATTAAGAAAGTAAAAAAAAGAAAAAAAGAAAAATATGAATGACATAGAGATAAAAAGAACATGAGTGAACGAATGAACATGAATGTCATTAAGAAAGATAGACAGAAATGAAGAAGATCAATGCAATTTATAATGAACGCAAGAAAATGAATGCTATCAAGAGAAATGGAAGGACATGAATGGCTTTAAGAAAGAAAGAAAGGAATAATGGTATTAAGAAAGAACGTAAAAAAGAATAAAAATGAATGACAATAACAAAGAAAGAATATGGCAATAAGAAAAAAGAAAGACTGAAATTAATAAAGAAAGAAAGAAAATTAATGATATTTAGAAGGAATTAAGATAAATGACATTAAGAGGGAATGAAAGAAAGAAATATAATGACATTGAGGATGTCAGAAAAAAGAACGAAGGTCAAAGGCTTTAAGAAAGAAAGAAAGAATGTGAATGACATTAAGAAAGAAATAACAGGAATGGCATAAAGAAAGGAAGGAATGGAATGACATAAAGGAAGAATGGAAATGGATGTAATTACGAAAGAAAGAAAGAAGAAAAAGAAGATGAATTTCGTTAAGAAAGAAAGAACATGAATGGAATTATGAAAGAAAACTTATAGAAAGAAACTAAAAAGCATTACAGAGAATGAACATGAATGACAGTAAGTAAGAAAGAACGAAAAAAGAAAGAAAACAAAAGAAAGCTAAGAAAGAAAAAGAACGAATAAAAAAGAACGGAGATCAATTCCATTAAGAAAGAAAGAAAGAAAGAAAGAAAGAAAGAAAGAAAGAAAGAAAGAAAAAAAGAAATAATGAGATAAAGATAGAATGAAAGAACATAAATGTCATTAAGAAAGAAAGAAAGAAAGAAAGGAAGGAAGGAAGGAAGGAAGAGAGAAATAGAATGAATAACCTTAAGAAAGACAGAAAGAAAGTAACAAATATCATGACTGATATTAAGCATCCAATTCATGGCATTAAGAAATAAATAAATAATGAAAAGAATGACATTAAGAAAGAAAGTGACTGACATTAAGAAAGAAAGAACATGAATGACATTAAGAGAGCTCGAAAGAATGACTGAAAATGAATGGCTTTAATAAAGAAGAGAAAAATAATTTTAATGGCATTAAGAAAAATTAACATGAAAGCAGTAAGAAAGAAAGAAATCAATGGTATTAACAGAGAAAAGAAGAAAGAATATGAGTGGCATTAGAAATGAAAGATTGAACATAGATGACATTAAGAGAAGAAATACCGAAAGATAGAAAGGAAATGAATAACATAAAGAATGAAAGAAAAAATGAATGATATTAAAAGGAAAGTGCATTAATGGAATGAATAAAGATTCATAGAACGAAAATCAATTGCATTTAGAAAGAAAGGCCATGAATCACATTAAGAAAGAAACAAAAAATAAATGGCAAATAGAATGAAAGAAAGAAGGAAATGAGTAAAGAATAGAAAATGAATAGCATTAAGAAAGAAGATGAATGATCTAAAGAAAGAAATAAAAAAGAAAGGGAGAAACAGAACCTGACTGCGATTAAGATAGCAAGAATATGAATGACATTAAGAAAGAACATGAATGGCATAAAGAAAGAAAGAAAGAAAGAAAGAAAGAAAGAAAGAATGAAAGAATGAATGAATATGATTGGCATCATAAAAGAAAGGACATGAATAACATCAAGAAAAAAGAAAATGAATGGCATTAAGACAGAACATTAATAGCATTAAGAAAGAATGAATGACAGAATGAAAGAAAGATGATAAACATGTTGCAAATCAGAAAAAGAAATTCATTTGGAAAGAAAGAAAGAATGTCATTGAATAATACATAAATATTAGGAAGAAAGAATGTTGTCAACTCTGAAGAAATTCTTTTAACGTGAAAACGGTTGAGATCGCAGCTTCTTCCTATCTGGTAAAATAAAAAAAATAAAAACAAACTTTTCGGCAAATTTCGTTCAAGAATTTAAACCTGAATCATTCTGAAGTTTCGCCCAACACATTCTTCTTGGCCTTATTTAGCATTTGATAAATTGTTATTAATATTATAATGTAGGCCTGCAATTGTTTCCGAATATTAGCACGTGCACTAATTATAATATCTCATAACTTCCGGCATAAAATAATATTTTTACTTGGCTATAATTTTATTATTTAGAATCAAATTTACAAAGCTTTTTTAAAGCTTTTGGTGTATAATCACCTTCATGTCTTCTGTGTTGCAAAGAAAAAAAGAGAACTGCAAAAATGGGAAGTGCAACTACGACGTCTTTGCTTCCATGAACATACAGTCTTATTTTATTCTTGCCAATGGCGAAACGATTATTTTACTTATCAGTCCGTTCCACCAACCTTCTCTTTCATTCATATAATGCAACTCATTCATTATTTTTTAACAGAAGCGTTCTACCTTGAGTGGATCTCGGGCATAATAATGGGTGCATTTTAGAGTACAAAAATATTTTTTTAATGGAAACCGCACATCTGCTTTAACTGTAAAAACAAGGAAGAAAACTATAAAGACGGAAATGGCGACGGAAAATTTTCCAGAATCATTGAAGACATCTTTGTAAAAAAAACAAACACAAAAAAACAAAACAAAGGAGGCTTTTAATTAACAGTTGAACAGTGTAGTGAGAGCTGAAAGTGTGACACAGAAATACAAAAGCGTGTAGAAACAGCTAAAAGATATGAAACTAAATAGAGTAATATAAAATCGAAATATATCATTAGTAACGAACATTGAGGGACTGTTTTTTTATCTCCTCTTACCTATCGCAGTGAATGATGTAAAATTTTGCCAAAACCGAATGCAAACAAGACGGAGGGGTCATACGATACATTACAAAACTCTAAATATATTTTATAAAAAGAAGAAATGATTTACATTATTTATATTATTGTTCTCGTTCCACGTGCCATATTTTGATGGATGTCACTTATCAGTTATCTCCTGTTAATTTTCACTCTGAAAGTTGTCCACTGCCTTAACCGGGTATTGAACTCGCACTCTTTGGGTCCTGGCACAATGGATAAAGGCGTTGGTTAGAAAGGACCGAAAGAGTGTGAGTTCAATACTCGGTTAAGGCAGTGGCGAAATTGGAGAGGGGAATTAACTGTAGATAACTGATAACTGACATCCATCAAATACGGCACGTAGAACTAGAACAGTCTACCCCAGTGAGCGAAATAAAGGGTTCAGTTTGACATCCCAACCACCTGAAGAAGGCCGGGGCGTATAACGGCCGAAACGTTGTGAAAAAATATGGCGACAAAGATGAGGACAATAGTCCGAATAATGTAAATAATATACATAATATCTCATCTCAGAAATATAGACAGACTCTGAAGAAATGATGTATTTACATTATTTATACCCAATTAATATCCCCATCTTTATTGATACTATCATAACATTTCGCCCGTTTTGCTCCCTTTCCTCCGGCTATTATCCGGTTCCTGTCGATCCAGGGAACAATTGAAAAGTTTATTTAATTTATGGGATTACATTGTTCTCCTTCCTCTGACCATGCCTATCTCGTCTAGTTCGTATTTGATACTGCTCCTTTATTAATTGTTCCTTTTCGCGTAAGATTAATTTAATTAGCAAAAACCTGATGAAAGCCGATGGTTACAAAGCCGAAATTTTCTATCAATACTAACAAATAAGAAAACATTAATCCGCATTTAATTAATGTAAATAATAATAATAACCTTAATGACTATCAAGTAGAACGCTTAAAGAACGACTGGAGTATGACAATGTTCATGAAGACAAGAGAAACAAAGAAGAAAATTAAAATCAGTATCCCAGTCAAAAAGAGAGGTTATTGAGGAATACGAAATAGATATATCAGCAAGAAAGAAGCTCTTGTGGAGATCCATGAACTGCCATGTTCTGAAGGATCACAGATTATATAGAGATAATATTTTAATCTTCTGGATTTTAGAGCTTATTTCCATGCGTTCGTTGATTTTCGTCGCAAAAGTTGAGATCATTATTATACGACGATCACTAAACAATGCGGATCGGATGTAAATCATAATATGCTAGGGATATTCAAAATTGGGTCAATAGTGAGGATTGGTTAGTTGTATCATCTGCTCTGCCAATTGAGCTACAGGAATGTTTACGTTTGGCAGAAGATCTTTACAATTTACTGGAAATGCTTCTGCCATAACAATTTTACTTGCTTTCCATAGCAAATATACATGTTGCGTCTTACTTAATAATGTTTGATGATATGGTTAAGATGACAAGGTTTCATCAAATTAAGGATAAAAATATGCTGTTATTAATAGATTGGATAACAATCATCGATACTGGAACGTACTGATCAGTGAAATAAGAAGGATAATTTGTTTGATTTATTTTTCTACAAGAAATTTATTGTACGTCATTCGATGAACAGCTGCTAGGTTTCAAGGGGCAACTTGGAGCAAAGTCATTCGAGTTTTGTCAAGAATTCTTTGTTTATTATCCGTACGATTTTAATCACTGACTGAATATTTGCAATAAAAAGTAACCAATTTAGACGTGAAAGAAAACTATGATTTGTAGTGGAAATATATCGGAATCTTTTGCCACCTGTACCGAAACAAACAGTCTACGTACGAATAGACAATGTGTTCATTGGATTCACAAAAGTAGTAACAGCAATGAGACAAGGATTTAGTTTTCTCCTCGGAATGTATTTAGCCTAGAGATACGAGGCATAGTAACAGTGATTATTGTTGGTTGAACTAATCATAAAAATATGGTTACTACTTCCACTAATCCTAATGTAAATAAAACAATTGCAATTAATTTGAAGAAATTCTAGTGAACTATGTATTTGTCAGTGTATAACATGAGACATATTTGTGTTGATGGCACAAAGAAACGAGAAGTGTCTATTAGATAAGTTAGTAAAGAAAGCGCTCTTAATTTTAAGATGTAATGCATGATTGTAAGTAAAAGAGCCACACCAAGATGTAAGCTACATAATCTAGACAATAAGATCAAACAACGAAATTTAATTATCTGATCAATGCATTAACAATTAATTAAAATGTGATATAAAAGTGAATGCGCCTCGTAATAGCCAAATATGCCCTAAAGAAACTAAGTACTCAGAGATAAGAAAATGCCTTTACAATCAAAGCAATTTGTGTCAAACGTCTATTTGATATCATATTCTCGTGTATGCCAATGAAAATGAACAATCTTCTCACAGATAAAGATGAGACTGCCAGTGTCATATATGTGGATCTACAGACAAATAAGGAGAGCACTGAAGGCAGAACATATAATCAACGATAAAGTGTTAATTAATATAGGAATTACAAAGAAAATGATATTTACAATCTATAGGTGTATAGGTGTATCCCTTGAGGATAGAGGACATTGGAAATTTAACAATTATGTTTAAGAGATGCGGGAGGAAAGAGCCAGTAATCTATTTAATATTTTAGTAAATGGATTACAAAATACGGACTAAGTGGGGAAGTAATAGAGAAATCATTATATAGTACAACAAAAGAGAGGAAGTTGTGGAAACCCATGATCACCCAAGGACATATTACATAAAAGAAATGATAGTTGAATTAATCAACACCTAATGGACGTTTCTGGTAGCATATTAATCTCTCCATAGACAATTATTTCTTTTATTTATGCTATCGGGATTTATTCTGTTAAGCATCATAAATACATATATATATATATATATATATTCAGTATTTTCTTCAGTTCAATATTTCCGATATATCCCAGGAATACAGTTTTTATATACTGCATGACATTGATTGATTGATTTGTTTATTTTACGGATTATCAACTCATTGCAGGTTATTTAAAGCTCAAAAATGTCTTTAGATTGTAAGAGTTTTTGGAGATAATAACCACTTACTGATACAAATCTTAAAAATTAATCCAGTGTCATAGCCTTTCCAAGCGTATTTACGCGTAAGGGAATATATTATGAAACCGACTTGAACTGGAATTCGACTCTCCCATTTCCAGTTCCGAGATGTTATCCATTACACCACCTGAAAATGTAAGCTTACGGCACCTGGTTTTTGCAAGCGGTCACCTGTTTAGGTACTGACCAAACTCAACGTTGCTTAACTTGAGCTTTAGGCTTTCTGCTCTCAAACAAAATATACTGCATAAAACGGTCTTTATTTGGATTTGAGCTGTAAATATGAAAAAAAATTTAAGCTTAAAACAATGTTAGTATGGAATAGAACAATTATTTCTGAGATAATGCCTAATATTGAGAGTAATTGGTAATAATGGCAATAAGTTTCGTTTATTTAGTTTTCCAGAATGCTTGGTAT